TGTCACCTGTTTTGAAAATAGGTATCACATTTGCCATTTTCCACTTATCTGGCACCATGCCAGTTTGTAGTGATATGTTGAAAAGATTAGCCAAAGGTGTGCTAAGCTCCTCTTTACATTCCTTTAGAACCCTTGCATACAGTTCATCAGGGCCTGGGGATTTGTTAGGTTTTAATTTATCTATTTGCCTAAGGACCATGTCACTTGTGACCCTAAAAGTGCACAGTTTATTATCGTCCTGTTCTACATAATTTATCATTACTGGAATATCGCTGGTATCCTCCTGTGTAAAACTGAGAGGAAGTATGTGTTAAAATTCTACACATTTCCTTATCACTGTCAGTGAGCTGACCGAGGAACTTTTGAGTGGGCCTATCTTGTCCCTGATCTTACTTCTGTATACCTGAAAGAATCCTTTTGGGTTAGTCTTCGATTCTCTTGCAACTTTAACCTCATAATCTCTTTTTGCTTTTCTAATTCCCTTTTTTATTTCTCTCTTTAACTGAATATATCGATTTCTCAATTGCCCCTCTCCTCTTTTGATTTGCCTATATATGCCTCTCTTTTGACCAATCAGATATTTTAATCTATTGTTCATCCATTTAGGATCATTTTTGTTTGATCTGATTTCCCTATTTGGAACATAATTTGACTGAGCAGCTAGAACTATGCCCTGGAAAGCATCATATCGGCAACCATCACCACCTACCTGACCCTTAGTCAGGTCATTCCAGTTCAGCCCACCTAAGTAATTTTTCAGTCCTATGAAATCAGCCAAGCGAAAGTCAGGGACGGAGACTAGAAGTCTGGAGACAGGAGAGACAGGGAGAGACATGATTAATTCTTCGCTGAAGAGTTGGAAGAGTTCTTGGACACTGTCCATGCTGAGGCCCTCAACATGGTCGTGTCGAGGACAATAAAGTATTTATATTGTTGTAGCGGGGGGAAGAGAAGGAACCGGAGCACTGCCGGGGTCGAGGAGGAGATGGTAGCAGCGAATGCATGGAAGTGGTAGTGGATGTACGTAGGTTGAGAAGACCAGTCATGAAAAGTATAGTTGGAAGAGGACCACAGTGACTATCCAGGTCTGCTCATCTTCCAGTAGTAGGGACAGAAGCAACCCATTTACGAACCACGGAACAGGTGGGGTCTGAGCCCATCCAACTAATTGGATGAATCTTACTGCAGTAAGCTGACCGAGTGGCTTAAGCACTGGCCTCCAGTTTTACGACTCGCTTGTCATGGGTTCAAATTCCACCCGTTCCGTGTTTTTTTTATATTTTTTTTTCAATGGTGTCATTACGATTTCATGAACCAGAGCCATTTACGACTGAGGACCAATCACTGCTTGTGAGACTGATGCAGGACCATCATTTGCAACATCAGTTACGTCCAAACAAAGGAAGACGTTCAACACTGTCACTCCCAAGTTAGTTTCGGAATTGGATCGCACTAAGACGACAGACCACAGTGTTGCCGGTATCCTGGAACTGCTTCCAAACTCGTTCATAACCTAAGAGTCCTAAGTGAACTCTCCACCATCCGAGATACCATTTACTGGAAGACGGCGAAACACAGAAGAATGATGCAAATGATATAAAATACCAACAAGATGATGATTAAGACACATGTGCAACAGTTGGGTATCTATTGTTGAAACGTTTTGCCTACACAGTAGGCTTCTTCAGTCAAATATAGAGGCTGCAGGTGTAGTAGTGAAATGAAGATTTAATCAGTTCATCAGCCTTGGTTGGTGAAATAGTATTTGAGGTGGTCAGTCCCTCAGTCTGGTCTGGACCAGACTGAGGGACTGACCACCTCAAATACTATATCACCAAGGATGATGAACTGCTGATGAACTTGCGGTTTTGACGAAAATTTGTGTATGCAATAATTTCGCAAAAAAACATTCTAAACGGAACGAAAAAATATTTCTTTGTGTTTATTATTATATTATTGTAAACTTATCTAAAATATAATTCGTTGAATTAGGTTAAATTAAATTGCGCTTGTTATAATAAGGTTAGGTAAGTAATGTATTCAGAAGAAGCGTTACTAGCCCCTTGCTCCCGCCATTTCAGTCGCCTCTTACAACATGAATGACTTATGGAGAAAGAATTCTGTTCCACTTCCCCATGGAGACGAGAGGAAATAAACAAGAACAATAACTAGTAAGAATAATTGAAGAAACCCAGAGGGATATGTATATATATATGCTTGTAGATGCATGTGTAGTGTAAGTAGAAGTAGCAAGACGTACCTGAAACCTTGAATGTTTATGAGACAGAAAAAAAAAACACCAGCAATCCTACCATCATAAACAATTACAGGTTTCCGTGTCACACTCACCTGGCAGGATGGTAGTACCTCCCTGGGCGGTTGCTGTCTACCAACCTACTACCTAGAATATACATATAACTATTAGAAGCAAGATTTCAGAAGCCCAGGGCTTTACCAACCATGCTAATGGAAACTTCACTAAGAGCAGGTCAGTCACATATTAAACAGGGAAATTTCTGCAGCTGTAACCAAGTGCGACGGTAGCGTGCAAGTGTCTCTAGACAGAGCTGCTTCCATGGCAATACACGGGAGGGATGGGGGGGGGGGAGCTCTTTACCCACAGATGCTGTCAATTTTACCCCAATAAACTGCAATAAACTGTTGTATTTTTCATGAATCGATAAGGATTGGCCACACTGTCAGCATTGCATCTTTGGCACTTAAATGAAGTTAACACCATCTAAAACATGTCATTATCTTTAGCGCTTAAATGAAGATAACAACGCCTAAAATATGACTCGCAAAATCGTAATGACACGATTGCAAACAAACCACGGTGGGGATTGAATTCGCGGTTAGTTCAATCCCCACCCGTACTGTGGCCTTTTCTTTACGCCTAAAACATGTCATTATCTTTGACACTTAAATGGAGATAACACAGCTTAAACATAACATTATCTCTGAAGAGAATTAAATGAGGTATAGACGTGTTCATGCAATAATTTATAAATTACATAAAAATACGACAATGAAAATAGGAAATAAAACCTGAGCGCTTTCATGTGCTTACACATACATCTTCAGAGGAATAGGAAGAGGCAAGAGAAGCACATTTATACGTTAAACACTGATGTGACACCTCACTCAGAGAAGGTGACAACACCTCTCACAGGTTTGTGTGAGGTGTTGTCAAACATAAAATATGCTTCTCCTGACTCCTCTTTCTATTCCTCTGAAGATTGTGCAAGCACATGAAAGCGCTCAGGCTTTATTTCCTATTTTCGCTGTCGTAATTTTAAATATTTGCGATCACAGGTTTTATTGTGATTTCTTCCACTGATAAAGTATACAGTAGAAACTTGTATAAGCGGCACTTGTAAGCTACCTACTGTACCAATAATCAGGTTACCACTGTACCAACAAGAACCACAGTTGACACAAGCAGCGTCTTCAAGAATCGTCAAGACTTCTGAGCCTCGTGGGTCGTGTCGCCTCTCATATTATCACCACAATCAAAACTAAGCGCTAAACCTGCAAGAGGACCCTCTAATAGAGCCCGATAAAAGCAAATGTTATAATGTTTTTTTATTTAATAAAAATTACTTTACAATTTTTTTTAATAAATAGCATTTTATGTACTAGCTTGTGCTAACGGTTGCGTTGTTGAGTTTGTTGATAATGAGCTTAAACCATTATTTGGGTTGGGTTTGTTCACGTTAGCTTGGATTATATTAGTTTAGGTCAAGTTAAGTTACATTAAGTTTAGGACAGACTTAGGGTATGTTAGCTACAGGTTACCTTTAAGTTAGGTTAATTTGGCTTTAGGTCAGGTATTGGGTTAGGTTTAGGTTAGCCTTAGCTTAGTTTAAGTTAGATTTAGAATAGTTTTACTTACTTTCAGGTTACGGTGCGTTAGTTCTAGATAACATTAAGCAAGATTAACGTCACATTAACCAGAGTTACCCAGCTATAACACATATTAACAAAATGTACAACAACGGCATTATATACTGACAGGTACGTTAGTATGACGCAACGTACGGTTCATATCTTACTGCCGACGTTTCGTCCACTGGCAGGCAAAACGTCTTCTCAATAACATATAGCCAACTCACTGTCTTAACATACACGGTAGCATAGAAAATGGGTCGGGTAAATATTTTGGTTTAGTGGGTGTCGGTTTGAGAAGAACCTGCCTTGTACGGACCAGTAGGCCTGCTACAGTGTTCCTCCATTCTAATGTTCTTAAACGAAACTTTCGTGACAGGTGAACCGAAAACCTGGAGAAAGAAAACCTGGAAAACACCGAGGAGAGGAGAAAGCTTAGAGAGTACAAGACCGAGTTTCTCGTCAAGGTCTCTCAGTCTCTTTAAAGACGGACCACGGTACGGGCGGGGATTGAACTCGCGATGAGTCGTAAAGCTCCAGACCGACGTGTTTTACGACTCACCTCGAGTTTAATCCCCGCCTGTACCGTGGCTTGTTTGCAATCGTGTCATTACGATTTCTTGAGTCAAGAGTTTAGAAACGATATCGGATTCATAATAAAAAAAATAAATCCGCCTTTGTTTAGGAACCTTAGCTTAGGATGGGTTAGTGTTAAGTGACTCTTGTAAATCGCTTTACACACCCTTAGTAACTAAGCCAAGAATTTTTTTATTTCGTGTATTAAGAGGGTGTGTACAACAATGCTTCTTGTATTAATCAAGTCTGTAAACAATGCTTCTTGTATTAATCAAGTCTGTAAACAATGCTTCTTGTATTAATCAAGTCTGCAATACAATGCTTTGTGTATTAAGTCCGCAAAACAATGAAACAATATAACTACAGTCCACACCCAAGGTCACTAGCCAAGGATAAAAACAGTATTTCAAACCCTTAAACCCAAACAATATAGCACGTGACCCTTGACCTAAAACAGGTATAAGGTTCCTAACCTAATACTACTACTACTGTGTGACCTTAAATGATCCGACCTTAGGAGACCTAAGTGACCTTACCTGCCATTAAGACGATCACAGCGACGTTGCCAATGATGCCGAAGACCAGAGTGACCAGGTAGGTGGTGAGATGGAGATAGAAGAATGGTATTATCTGGTGGGAGATAAGAGAGACATTATGAGAAAGGAGAGAGAGAGAGAGAGAGAGATGTATTAAGGAGTGAAAACATCTGAGATTATATAGGGTTAATAACTGTGGAAGAGAAGTGAACTTAAGGAAGATTACACAAATTTGAGACCCAAGAGAGATTATTATGGGATAAGAACCGAGGGAAATTATACGGACGTGAGAACTAGGGTAGATAACAGAGGGGTCGTTAACTGGGTTTAAAGCCTGTCGACTACACACAGGGTCGTTAAGGCTGTATGTCACCTGCTCTCCATTAGTGAAGGATACTTAATGCTTTGCACAGGGACTAAAATATAAATGTATACATACTGAGATGCACACCCATCTAAGTATACATACACTGTACATACACATTAAGAGGTTATAGAGGCAAAAACATATGAAAAAAATAGATGTATATTGTCTTCATATGGAAATAAATGCCTTTTCCTGAGTAATTTACTGAGGACAGACTTTAGATGTTTGGATATTTACCTCAAGAAGGTTAATGAGAATATCAAAATATTCTGTTGTGATCTAGTAGTTTTGAATATTACTTTTGTGAGTCGTGGATAATAATGAGCCAGAATTGTCTGGGATTTGAGTTAAGTGACGTTACTACTGTACTAATGATGACGATAATTTGCATGTTACGGCTATTACTACTACTACTGCTGCTGCTGCTTTTGCTACTGCTGCTACTCCTTCCACTGCTACTGCTGTTTGTATTCCTGTTACTACTACAATCGCTGTTTTTACTATTGCTACTACTACCACCACCACTAATGCTACAACTGTTGTTGGTACTATTGCTCCTGTTGCTAATACTACTGCTGCTATCTTACTACTGCTACAAGTTTTGTTTGTACAAATGCTATTACTACTACAGGTTACTATTACTACTACAATTGCTACTGGTTTTACTACTGCTGCTACTGTTACTTCTACTGCTAATACAACTGCTTCAACTACTACTACTACTACAACTACTTCCGTGCTTACTACTAAAATTACAAGTATTTAAGCTACTGTTATTGACAATACCACAATTACTACTATCACCAACATTATCACCATCCTTACTACCACTACTATCACCAACACACTACCACAACCGTTATACAACTATCTTCCCCTCCCCCTCCCACCTACAACACCCTCCACCAGCTCCTCCCTCTCTCCCACTCACCTTCCAAGGATAATGCAGATCATTCGGGTCAGCGATTTCGATAAAATTGAAGGTATCGTTTAAGCGAACGGTTACGTTCCCTGCGTCCAGCCATTCCCCCTGGTCGTTCACCTCTGCCGGGGTGGTGTAGTCGTTCATGTAGTCGCCCATGGTCGTCTCTAAGTGGTTCAAAGAGAAAACGTTGAATAAAATCACTGGCAAAGCAAATTGCATACGTTTTTGCATGAAATTTATCAGTTTATTGATGGATAATTGTGTAAAGTTTTATTTTGCCTTAATATCCGCCAGTGTTGTTTATACACAAGTTTCTGAACTTGTTCCTGTACAAAAATAATTTTAGGCAACTCGTTGCCATTATACAAGATAATAAACCTGTTAACAGGTTATTATTACTGTAACTTGCTTAAGTTACCCCTGGGTTATTACTACTAAAACTTGCTTAAGTTACCCCTGGGTTATTACTACTGTAACTTGCTTAACTTTCCCCTGGGTTATTACTATTGTAACTTGCTTAAGTTACCCCTGGGTTATTATTACTGTAACATGCTTAACTTTCCCCTGGGTTATTACTATTGTAACCTACTTAAGTTACCCCTGGGTTATTACTACTGTAACATGCTTAACTTTCCCCTGGGTTATTACTACTGTAACTTGCTTAACTTTCCCCTGGGTTATTACTATTGTAACCTACTTAAGTTACCCCTGGGTTATTACTACTGTAACATGCTTAACTTTCCCCTGGGTTATTACTACTGTAACTTGCTTAAGTTACCCCTGGGTTATTATTACTGTAACTTGCTTAAGTTACCCCTGGATTATTACTACTGTAACTTGCTTAAGTTACCCCTGGGTTATTACTACTAAAACTTGCTTAAGTTACCCCTGGGTTATTACTACTGTAACATGCTTAAGTTACCCCTGGGTTATTACAACTAAAACTTGCTTAAGTTACCCCTGGGTTATTATTACTGTAACTTGCTTAAGTTACCCCTGGGTTATTACTACTGTAACTTGCTTAAGTTACCCCTGGGTTATTACTATTGTAACCTGCTTAAGTTACCCCTGGGTTATTACTATTGTAACCTGCTTAAGTTACCCCTGGGTTATTACTATTGTAACCTGCTTAAGTTACCCCTGGGTTATTACTATTGTAACTTGCTTAAGTTACCCCTGGGTTATTACTATTGTAACTTGCTTAAGTTACCCCTGGGTTATTACTATTGTAACCTGCTTAAGTTACCCCTGGGTTATTACTATTGTAACTTGCTTAAGTTACCCCTGGGTTATTACTATTGTAACCTGCTTAAGTTACCCCTGGGTTATTACTATTGTAACCTGCTTAAGTTACCCCTGGGTTATTACTATTGTAACTTGCTTAAGTTACCCCTGGGTTATTACTATTGTAACTTGCTTAAGTTACCCCTGGGTTATTACTATTGTAACCTGCTTCGCTATACTGGTTCATTACAACTGTAATCAGGACCCATCATGTGCCTCTGTAATCTTTGACTTTTCGCAGGATGGGTATCAGGGGACTAATTCCCACTGTGTTTGAGGGGACTACCTCCCACACCGTGTGTTTGAGGGGACTACCTCCCACACCGTGTGTTTGAGGGGACTACCTCCCACACCGTGTGTTTGAGGGGACTACCTCCCACACCGTGTGTTTGAGGGGACTACCTCCCACACCGTGTGTTTGAGGGGACTACCTCCCACACCGTGTGTTTGAGGGGACTACCTCCCACACCGTGTGTTTGAGGGGACTACCTCCCACACCGTGTGTTTGAGGGGACTACCTCCCACACCGTGTGTTTGAGGGGACTACCTCCCACACCGTGTGTTTGAGGGGACTACCTCCCACACCGTGTGTTTGAGGGGACTGCCTCCCACACCGTGTTTGAGGGGACTGCCTCCCACACTGTGTTTGAGGGGACTACCTCCCACACTGTTTGAGGGGACTGCCTCCCACACTGTTTGAGGGGACTGCCTCCCACACTGTGTTTGAGGGGACTGCCTCCCACACTGTGTGTATGAGGGGACTCCCACACTATGTGTATGAGGGGACTCCCACACTGTGTGTATGAGGGGACTCCCACACTGTGTGTATGAGGGGACTCCCACACTGTGTGTATGAGGGGACTCCCACACTAGGTGTATGAGGGGACTACCTCCCACACTATGTGTATGAGGGGACTACCTCCCACACTATGTGTATGAGGGGACTACCTCCCACACTATGTGTATGAGGGGACTACCTCCCACACTATGTGTATGAGGGGACTACCTCCCACACTATGTGTATGAGGGGACTACCTCCCACACTGTGTATGAGGGGACTACCTCCCACACTATGTGTATGAGGGGACTACCTCCCACACTATGTGTATGAGGGGACTACCTCCCACACTATGTGTATGAGGGGACTACCTCCCACACTGTTGTATGAGGGGTCTACCATCTACACTGTGTATGAGGGGTCTACCACCTACACCATGTGTATGAGGGGTCTACCACCTACACTGTGTATGAGGGGACTACCTCCTTACTATAGTTATGAGGTGCATAATAAATTATAAACAAAGTTCTAAACCCACAAGGGTCATACATCGATGCGGGTGCATAATGAAACTATTGAACTGTTGAAGTGTGGAATTTCCCCGGAAAATCTTAAACGCTGTAAATTTGGTAAATTATGTTATTTTACATCACGTAAATTTAATCGAGGCTTAAGTTTGTTGACGGGTCAGTTCTGATACAAATATACAAAAAAAAAAATATGAAGAAAATTCCCAAGTTTATTCGTGTTTATTGGATTACGAATGTGATGAAAGTTCACATTCATAATCCAATAAACACGAGTTTTTTTTTTTTTGCCTAGCTTCTTAAAGAACTTAGATGCACTCTTTCCCCATGAGCCACATAATGATGGGCAAGTTTCCCATATTTTCTAGATTTCTCGGACTCCCTGAAGCTGGCGGCTGCCCCTCCTTCCTCCCTGGTGTTTTGGAGATAGGTATCAGCCAATGTGGACGCACACGTGTAGTCCCACACCACCTGTTTGCTGTCTGTCCAGGCTCGAAGAGTGATTCCATCTGAATGCTTATGGTTGCCATCATATCTGCAGTTAGGGTGGCTCCCTTATTGCTGGGCATCCGGTTACTGATGATGTTATTGACCTCTTCATGCCTCTGCAATCTTTCCATCAGAGCTACGGTAAACAAAACCATGGTACCCGAATATTTCTGCCGATTCCCTCTGCAGATGCACCTGTGTTCAATGAGAATAGGATAGTCTTTGGGTCGAAGCGTTTGCCACGCGAGAAGCTGCGTACAGCAAACGCGAAATCCCCTGTATGGGTAGCTCTCACTGCTAGATGGAAGGCTCTCTCCCTCTCTGACACACTATGAAGCATTATTGAGGCTATATTTTTCCCTATTGGGCCACATCAGTGTGAGTTTTTTTAGATGTTGGTAGTTGTTGGTTTCAAAGCCTGTTAGATTATTCCAGAGCCTGGCTCCGTCAATAAACTTTTGGTCGTGATTCCAACACTGTTCTTTAATGTGTTGTGGGAGAATCGCTGCTACAAGCTAACTGGATGACACACGTGAAGACAGGAAAGTAGGTATACATTACCTTTGATAAATTTGAAGAATTGCGAGAGTATATCTACTGAGCCCGGCCATGGGCAAGGCTCGTCTGGTGCTCGCCTCGTCAACCAGGCTGTCGCTGCTGGTAGCGCAATATATATATATATATATATATATATATATATATATATATATATATATATATATATATATATATATATATATATATATATATATATATAGAGAGAGAGAGAGAGAGAGAGAGAGAGAGAGAGAGAGAGAGAGAGAGATTGAGATTTGAAATGCTTAACAATTCGCAAACAGGCGAAATTATTTACAAGCATTGTCACTACGTCCACAGCAGGACTCGAACCTACTAACTCTGTATCAGAGTCCACAATACTTTACCACACTCTCACTGGCCACAGACCAGCACAGTTACAAGAAGTGCACTTAAACCAGGTTCTTAAATCTCTCAGTGCGTCCCGCTAGGGTCGTATCTCTCTGGCTCCGACAATCTGGTGAGTTATCCCTAAACTTATCAGTTCCCCCGAGAACCATTCCCGTTTTTCCCTAACTTCATGTTCGTGTTTTTCTCTTAATTCCGAGTGAGAGTGAGAGAATGAGAAAGAGACCTAGCTTTCTGGAGCGCTCTGCCTGTTTCAACAGTTTGAATAAATGACTGGTGTGGTACTGTATTCAACAGTAGATCTAAGCCTGATAAACCAGACTATTACTAGTGACCGCACGCAATTGAGCGTACGAACAACTCGGCTGATCGGGCACTGACTTCAGGTATCTGTTCAATTTTCCTTTGAAGACAGCCAGGGGTCTATTGGTAAGCTCCCTTATGCATGATGGGAGGGTGTTGAATAGTCTTGGGCCCCTGACATTTTTCTCTTATTACACTCACAGCATCTCTGCTTTTCACTGAGGATATATTGCACCGTCTACAGTGTTTTGCTTTCGTAGGGAATGATTTCAGATTGCAGATTTGGGACAAGTCCCTCTACGATTTTTCAGGTGAAAATTATGTCGTCTCTCGTCTGCGTTCCAGGGAGTACAGCTCAAGAGACTTCAAACTTTCCTAGTAATTAAGATGCTTGACTGAATTAATACTTGCAGTGAAGGTTCCCTATATATATTCTCTAGGTCTTGAATGGGGTTGTTAGTGTACAGAAGTATTCCAGCCTAGAGACAACAAGTGATTTAAAGATCATCATCACTGGTTTGGCATCCCTTGTTTCGAAGGTTCTCATTATCCATCCTGTAATTTCCTCGCAGATCTGACAGTGTTGTGATCCTTGAAGGTGAGATCCTCTGACATTAGCACTCCCAAGTCGTCCACATTATTTTTTCACTCTATTGTGTCTCTAGAGTTTGTAGAATACTCAGTTCTATTATTCCCTCAAGTTTTCCATAACTGTGTAACTGAAATTTGTCCTCATTGAACATCATACTGTTTTCCATGGTCCATTGCACTTAGAGATTTACCGTATCTTCACTGAATGACTCACATTCAGATTCTAGTATCGTCTGCAAAGGAAGATACGATGCTATGGTTTACATCT